GCGTCACTGCAATGACACCGGCCCCCTTCTGGCTTGCAGCGTCACGCCACTGCACTGCATCCCGGATTGATGCAGTGGTATACACACGCACACACACATTGCGCAATAGCTTGCGTCTGCATTTACATACGCCGGGCTGATTTTTTTTCCCCTCGTGTGTGATTCTCAGCAAATTACACACACAAACCTAACAGGATCCATCTATATTTTTTATCCTCATTTATCCTACACTGTGTGCAGGGGAGTGTGGGTAAATGTATTCACTTATAGTGATTTGCACGTCTCTGTTATGTCACAAATTAAAGGGGAAATAAGCTGGTGAGGTGCTTATTCCCGGTAACCGCATTATGACGCATGGGTCACTGAGGGTGCCGGGTGATGAGACTGCGTAGAGCTTCAGCGGGATGGAGGTGGATAGGTTGAGGTGCAGTTTGGCGGACATGGAGGTCATGGCAATAAAGCCACTCATGTCCTCTCGTGGCCCTAAAACCAGTATTTTACTTAAATCTTGAGTGAGAATATCCACCAGCACCTCACCTTCTCCCCCCTCCCCTTATATAAACCGATTAAGGCCTACCTAAAATGGCTGGCAAGGTTATAGGCAAAAGTGAGGCCTATGAGGAGACACAGAGGACACTGGACACTAGTCTTCTTTGGGGCCTTTGAGCAACACTTTCCATAATGAAAAGGATGACTACCCAAGTGTGTGTGTGTGTGTGTGTGTGTGTGTGTGTGTGTGTGTGTGTGTGTGTGTGTGTGTGTGTGCCGCGCGACAGTGAAAGCTATTAAGACAGCAATAAGACAGTAATCAACAACAAGAGGACAATGCTCAAGAGACAATGGCAAAAATGAGCGAAAGTGAAATCAAAAATGTAGCTACAACTGTTTTGTCACCTACAATTGTTTTGTCGCAGTGTGGCTGGAGGCAGTTCCGCATTACCGTCAATGTCACTCAACCATGCGCGGGATTTCCACTCAGGGAAAAAAATGAAATGACATCACGTTTTCATGTCGAGGTCGCCCACCCACTACCCTCCCAAGCACCAGCAGCTCCCGGTTTAACGTCCTCGCCAGGGAGGTGTTGGTGATGGCGGACTACCGTTCGCTTCTCAGACCGCTTCGGGTGTGTGTCAGTACGGGGTTGAATGTGGGAGGGGGGTGGTGGTGGTGGTGGTGGTGGTGAAGTGAGGAAGATGGGCTTACCCCCATGTTGGCGCAGTCACTCTTCTTATCCTCCTCGCAGGTTGAGAGGTGTGCTCTTTCCGCTGGAGCACCCTTAAAACGTCTTGCAGTGGACGGGAGGGGAAAAAGGGGGGAAGAAAGAGAAAATGGTGGAACGACCAGTCTTGAGGTAAGACAAGCGGGAATGCAATGGAGTCTTAAGGTGAGTGCGTCACCGACAAGTTGCCGTTCCTAACGGGGCTGTCGTAAATTCAAGCTCGGCGAAAACGTCTACGAACAGCCCCAGTCGCGTTTTGTGAGCCTTGCTGTAAAAGAAACGTCGCGGTCACACTCCGAGCATCACGAGTGGATTTACCACGCCACCAAAAGGACCGGCGTTCCTAACTCACGAGCCGCACTACACTGCCTGCGAAACGCTTGTATCCCTCCGCGGCCCGGTAACAGCGCGAACTGCTTGGCGCAGTACAGTCTGTCCTCGCGCCGCACAACTCCGCCTGTGAAAGAAGCGCCGCCCGCAGCGAATGGCTAAAAAGTCGGATTGCTGATTTGAATACGCTCCGCCCATCAGCAATACCGTCGCCAGTGAGCAACGCCCATGCTTCACCGCTGGGTTCGTTGTCCAATCATGAACCTGAGCGTCTCTTCTATGATGACCAATGGGCGTCAACGTTATGTTCCTGCCGGCTAATTGGAGGCAAGCTTGGCCCCTCCCGCTTTACTGCAGAATTCAGCGGCTAGCTAGCCGAGTCGCTAATTGTAGCCACGGCAAGATTGTAATGTAGAAACTGAGGAAAGGTTAGATTGGACTAGCCGTGCCTTAGTGTTTGTTCTCGTGTTGCATGACAAGCAGTTTAGGGTTCTTTTTGGCATGCCAATGTGTCACGTGGTCAGAAACGAACGCTATCAGAGCGTGTGTGTGTGTGCTGTTACAGATGCATCAATGCACTGAAGCAGCAGCAGTAGCAAGGGAGCGTCGCTCACAATGCAGAGTCAGCATTTACGTATAAATTATTCATTGCGGTAGTACAGGGGCGGGGTAAGCTTTGTCTGCATTGCAATTTTATGACGTCATAAATTTATAAAATATGAGGCAGCAATGGGAAAAATAATGATGTGAAAATCAGCAATTGAGCTTGTTTTAGGGTAAATCGGACCCTCTTTAAATCAGGGGTGCCCCTTAAGCAGTTCGTGAGTGATCAGTAGCTCGAGCAGGGAGTGTGGTCGTGCTTATGTCAGTACAGTAATCCAATCACTGCCTACAGCACTCCCAAGTCTTATCCTATTGATCTAGCTGCCTGTCAACGACAGTGAACGAGTGTGTGTGTGTGTGTGTGTGTGTGTGTGTGTGTGTGTGTGTGTGTGTGTGTGTGTGTGTGCGCGCGCGCGCGCACGCACGCGCGCTTTCATGTTATTGGTCAGATTAATGGTGGAATCAATTTCGAAATTATTTATCTGGGTCTGACATTTGTACAGGGGTGTGTAGACTTTTTTATATCCATTGTAACTTGGCTGAATAAAGGTTAGGAATCATTGCACTTGACTGACGCTCATGAAATGTCCTTGTTCCCTATATGGAATCAAATCCTCAAACAAACGTTCGCCACCCGTGCTGTAGTGAGAGTTCAGCAGCAAAGGTATCATATTTTTGGTGCACCTTTTTGTTTTGCATTCCGCAAGTTGACACATGCAAAGAGAAACACTAAAAAAAAAAAAAAAAAAAAAAGAGCAGTTTACGCTCCAGGCCAACCGTGCTGGATTAGATATGAACGTCATTTTATGTAACCGTGCCACAGAATCAGCAGAAGGCGACCCTTATGCAGCATCCACGAGTCACGTTTCTTCCCCGCCGCATTTCTTTCCCATGCGAAGGGACGACGCAGCAGTGAGGCTTCAACCATGCACTGCTAATTTGCAAGGGAAAAGCAGAGCCTGTTCTAACACAAGGCCCCCAAAGCGTCGCACAAACACGCCACTGCCGTTTGACGTGCTTAAAGGGGGCTCGTCGCTTTCCAATCTGCTTGCAAAATGGCTGCCGCTGCCTGTCCTTTCCTTCCTATGTGTTTTGGAGGAGAGGCAGAGGCTGGAGGCAAGGAAACAAAATGCACCCAACAATTCTTGGTTGCCACAGCAACACACAAGTCAGATGACCTTGTCTGAGGGTTTGTTCTGCTGAGTCAGAAACTGAGGGATGAGGGAAAAGAGGGGTGCTTGTTTCCCATTATGTTGCTGTGGTAGGATGCTCATCAATTCAGCGGTTGCAAATGTACCCTATACCCTCCGTAGTTAACGTATAAATACTTGAGTAAAAAGCGACTGTGAAAAGTAAAAATATTGATTAAACGCCTGTACTTTACTGACTAAAAGTAAAAAAGTGCAGCCTGAAATGTACTTCAGAAAAAATGAATTGCTACTATGCAATCCATTATTAGAACTTCACTCGTTTGTAGAATTATTTTTTCAAACCTGTCACTCTTATTTTTTTTTTGGCTGAAAACCTCACCTCTTGCAATTCTTGTGCTCAGACTAAAGCACCATTTAAGTTTTGTTTGGCAGAATCTTGGGGCCACTAAACTATGTTCAAGTAAAGAGAGGAGCTTCATTCAATCCAGTCATAGCACTATCTAATAGGAAAATGTTTTCCTGCCATCTTGTGGCATCTTTAGGCAATTGCACATTTGTGGATTTTCTCTACTCAGGCTCGTTAACTATCCCCCATCACTAGCGGGAAACACTGAATATGCATAGCATCCCCAAACAAAACCTATACTCTGCACACAAAATATTGACCCCCTTTCACAAATCTACACAGTTTTAACCAAACAAATCACGTTTCTTGTGGCATGTTGTTCAAAACAACGTGTTCCTCCTGCTTTGTCACAACACAGTCACCCCGCCCCACCCCCCCCAAAAAAATGTCAATTAGCTT